TTCTCGATATCCACCTCTCTGAGGCCTACTCGTCATCAATGATTGCATTTTGATCTCAGACTGCTCTATTCTAGGGGTGAGATGTAATAGACTGGCGAACTTGCTCATAGATTGATTGACACTATCTTTTACCAGTTTCAGGATATCATCAAACTTTGGCTCGATACCCTCATCCTCCATACGGGAGCTTATCTTCACCCACTTCCTTTGCAGTCGAGTAGGTAGACGTCTTGCTATTACTTCTAGTATAAAACTCGAGTTGAGGTCACTCGTGCGATTCATCGAAATCATTCCATTCTTGTAAATTAGCAAATTATCTAAAAACTCAGTGAGTGCCTGGGAGTCATCCTGTAATTGACCACCATTACCCTTAACAGCCTCGAATAATTTCCCTGCAATCATCGAAGGTCTTCCAAACCTTTGACGTAATATGCTCATAGCCTCGTAGTAGCCCTCTTTTGGCTTCATAAACTTACAGCACTGTATAGCTCTTGCAGCATCTCCAGTGCAATATCTCATCAAATACATTAACTTCAATTCATCATTTAATAAAACACCACTCAACATGATCTCAAACTCCTTTACAAATTGTAAATAATCGGCCGGGTTTCCATCAAAACACCGTGGTTCAAATTTAGGGAGTTTGATGTTCCTATTATCCCTGAACGGCGAAACAGTAACATCAACCATGTCATGCTTAACATCAGACACATCGTTACAATTAACAGACAAGTCACCATGACTTACTTTCCTGTTTGCATCCAAGACACTCTGTCCCTTCTTTGACCCAGGCATTGTTGAACTTGACCCAATTCCAAAAAGGTCCAGATATTGCTTGTTCAAAGAGGACTTGACCGGCACCAGGAAAAATGAACGGCGACTATCCAAACTTTCACCAACTGTTTGAATCCGCCAGATCTGTTTCTATCGTCAGAAACTGTCAATCACGTCTCATAAACCGTTAATGCCCAGCTCTCGCTACGCTCGGGCCCACGCTGTTCTTCGAAGATTTCAGAAACGCTTAGTTATAACGGACGCAAAAACCAAAACACTGATCTGCCGCTTTAGATTTGTTTATTGTTACACCAACATATAAAAGGAATAAGCGAACTAAGGTCTGTGAACAAATATTACAATAATAAATCATAAGATTACTTCTGACGATGTTTCACTCTTCTTTCTGAACAGCGACCGATGAGACGATGACTGTCGTATTGATGCCTCCGCGAAAATTGGGGAAGTTGATTTTGAGCAAACAACCAAGAATTGATCGTTCAATCTTCAACTCCATTGACAGTTTATGTATAATATGAAAGGGAGAAGGCCTAATACACTCCCCTGGATGACATCAGTGCTAATTCGTCTAGACCTAGCGGTCATCAAGCCAAATTTTGTTGTCTAATTTCTGTCACAGAGAAATGATTTTTCCAGTTGTGGAGGGGCTAGTGTATCCCTGGTGAGTATAACCTGCTGACTGGCCGACTATGTGGAACTCCGTCAAAGGCTCACCTTATATTAAAGTAAAAGTTAATTACTGGTTTTCTCCCATCTCGTCTGTAGGTGACTTCGTTGGAAACGTCCATATTGCAAACGGGGAGTCCATGTTGCGACTGGTTTACGAGCTTGTTCTAGAAAGTGGTCGGACATTTGGTCTTCGATTACTCACTCCATGACCCGTGACATGACAGGTGTTATACTGATAGGCCTATAATTGTACGCACTAGTTTTATCTCTTGCTTAATGCTTAGGTGATATACATATGTCTTTCCAAATTTATTTAATTTTATTTATTATAGCCTGATTCCACACCATGTTTTTGGTACAAGTATGGAATTTTCAGCACGTGATATTGGTAACCCAAATTTCGCAGGCCGACCATAAATATCAGGTGTACATCGGAGTGGGCTCGAACCCCGCACCATGTGCATGATCGGTGCTACCGACGCAAATACATATATCTTTCAAAATTTTAGGGTAGATCCCAGTCGCTGGTGAGAGGGTAAATATTCCAAGTAATAATACTACTATATCCGTGCCACCTTTTATGTACATGATAGATAGTATGTCATCTATCCCACAACTACCGTTAGCTTTAAATGTCTTTACCGCTGATGCTATATTTTGTATATTAAATTTGATGTCACCTAACTTGTAGTTATTTTCGCAGGCTATGTCGAGAGCTAATGGCTGAGGAGTTCACTGCTAGGCCGGTGGTCATCATAAATTATGCATCTATGTTCTAAGGGGCTAACATTGTTGTCTTTACCCTTCTTCAGTCGTTTTCACAAGATCGTGCAGAGTTCCTGAGTTTCAGAGACGTCCCCTAGGGCTTTATTTTCCTCGAGTTGTGTCTTTATTTTATGTCTCTCCTCAAGATTTTTAAATGTTTCATGTATAAGGTGTAATTCTTTAAATAAATGGAATTTCCTTTTCAGTTTCCTTAGTTTTAATTGCGTTTTGCGGTCTATGAATAGAGTTGGTGTCTTTAGGGTAGATTTTAGGGTTGTGATTGTGTCTCTTGCCGAAATGGTTTCCTTGTAGAATATACTAACTCTTACTTCTAAGTTAATTTTGGTCGAGTACTCATTCTAATCAGAGCTTCTTCAGAGCACTGGTGGGAATTCCCAGTCGGCATTCCTACAGTCCTTATGTTGATATTAAACCAAGGAATTTTTAGGTCTGTGTTTAGCTGTTGTTTGAAGATGCGGAGTGCAGTACAGTATGTTGTGATCACTGTTGTCGAATTTATCCCCCCACCTCCATCGAGGGTAGCCCTATTTTGTAGCGGAGGATTAAGTCAAGAATATTGTCATGTCGTTTCGGGAGGCGTATGCACTGCTTCCATCCTCCTACATCTATAGCTTCTAGGAGCTCGCCATGGATTCTAGCTCCATTGAGGTATCATAGTCAGTCATTTTAGGGCTGTTTGGAGTGCTGTGGATGCATCTTACGAGAAATGTATTTTCATTCGTGTGGATGCTTATCCACTTAGATTCTGGGAGTTTGTCGATAGTTGTGTTTGTAAAAGTATTGGTGTCAGTAAATTTAGAAGTATATTCTAGACAACCGCCCCTCTTTTTCGCACTCTATCATTCCTGTGGATGTCATGGTTATCACTTGTCAGGTTTGTGTCAGATATGCCATTAGTTAGCCAGAGTTCATTCACTAGGATATGTGTTGGCTGTTCCACATATACAAAGCTGAGAACCGATGTTATTTTGTTAGGGGGAGATCGAGCATTTAAAAGCATAATTTTCAGAAAAGCAGGGTTGTTGGGAGGGTAGTTATAGGTTTCCTTCTTACTACCTCTAAATCCTGGTTTCCTATGTTATGTTTAGAGGGAATCTCATATGAACAAACTGTACCGTAAGAGGAATTGCTGTTTATGCAGCTGAAAATAATCCAATGCACACATTGGTCTCAGGCATCATCACGTGGGTGTCTGTAAGCATTTCTCGGCATTCGATGGTCTGTCTCACTGTTCAGATCGTAATTTACAAGGCAGAAGTACCGTGGTTTTAGGTTGTTTTGAGTATACAGCTTGCTGGGTCTTTCGCAGGTGTGCATTTGTTGACTAATTTCGTGCGTCTAGGCAGAAGAAACGTCGGCAAATCTATACCCGTTACGTCGATTGGGCTTTACGTAAATACTACGAGGATTAATAAATATATTACCTTTCATGTGGTGACTAGTGCTGTCCCGTCTCGAAGCCAGTGTGTTCTTATTATTCATTTTGGGCCCCATTCTAAAGTTACCCGTGCCCATGGGCATATAAGCATCTCGGCCAATGCGGAAATAGTGGGTTTCGGTCCGCTGTTTAATCAGTTTCAATGTAGATGTGTGAAACTTCCACCACAAGGCGAATGAAAGAGAGGGGTGAGAAGCAAAGTACAGCAGAGGAAAGACAATGTATGTGGACACGGATAGGATCTAAAAGTTTGCATATATGTCAATGCAGTTGAAGAATGAACCATCAATTCATGGTTGTTTACTCAGACAAACTCCATATTTCTCCCAGGAATCATCAATACGGCAGTCATCGTTACATCGTTCGCTGTTTGTTAGAAGACGGAGAAATAATCTCAGAAGTATTATCGAGATTTACCGTTATGACATTTATTCATAGACCTTGTGTCGATCACGTCTCATAAACCGTTAATGCCCAGCTCTCGCTACGCTCGGGCCCACGCTGTTCCTTGAAGTTTTCAGAAACGCTTAGTTATAACGGACGAAAAAACCAAAACACCGATTGGCCGTTTGATATTTCTTTATTGTTACACCAACATATAAAAAGAATAAGCGAACTAAGGTCTGTGAACAAATATTACAATAATAAATCATTGTATTACTTCTGACGATGTTTTACTCTTCTTTCTGAACAGCGACCGATGAGACGATGACTGTCGTATTGATGCCTCCGCGAAATGGGATGTTTAAACAATTATACTACCTTGTTAAAACTTTTTTTTTGAAAAGTCATTTTTGTTTTTAATCAGGCACTTTTTTTTTTTTTTTCCTTGATAATTTGTTGATGGAAAGGTTAGTTTTTTGGTAAAAATTAACATATATTTTTTAAAATTAATCAAAGTAATGGAATTTTATCCAGGACAAGGTAGTGAGCCAAAGTTCAATGATATTCTGAAACTAGTAAAAGATAGCGTCAATCAATTTATGAGCAAGTTTGCCAGTCTGTTTCATCTTACCCCTAGAATAGAGCAGTCTGAGGGCAAAATGCAATCATTGATGACGAGTAGGTCTCAGAGAAGTGGATATCGAGAAAGATTTATGGTGTCTAGTAATCCATGGAGACTTAATGAGTGTAACAGCTTTCGTGGGACGTCCCAAAAAATAGGATACAGGTTGCGAGACAAACACGGTTTTGTTTTACACGTTTGTAAGAGGTGCATTCAAAAGCGAACTGTGAAGGAGTGATCAAGTTTAGTGGTAAGCCATATGTGAAATCAAGGTCTGACTCCGAAACGTGTGACGATTATGGTGCGATGAATAAGCCTGCAGTTGCTACTGGTAAGACATTGTTGAATGGAGTGACACAGAAGAGAGTTACGGTCTCAGTGGACAGTTCTCACTCCGCAAGTTTTCTAGGTACCACTAGTCAAAGTGAAGGTATTGAAATTTTTAGGATTTTTGAGGAGCAACTAAAATTGTCTGCTTCTGTTATTAAAGAGTTTGAAAATGATGAAATTGACGGTAAAGTGAATATTCATGATAATGATTATGATAGTACACATCTGTCTTTGGTTGATCATGATGAGATGAGGGATATGCCTACTACTGCTGAGTTGAACAGAGGTTCTGCACAACTTGAACGTGAAGCAGAATTAAATGCAGATGCAGTTGCAGAAGGTAGGGATACTTGTGAGACCGTCAGTGTGATTGATCAGCGTGTAGCCCACCTATCATCAGATGTTAGGGTTAAACTGGAGCTAATAGTAAAAGACAGTAGTGGTGGTAATCTTGCAGTTAGACAACTTCCTGAAAGCCGAACAACAACAGCTTCTCATCCACCGCTGAGTTCATCAATTGGTATCAATCAGTCGTCATTGTTGTTGTCATCCACGTTGAAAAAGACGCCCATCAACTCAACTATCTTCTGCAATGACTAGGATAGTATTGGTGCATCTGAAAGGACGAAAGATATTGCTCAGTTTAGAGAGGATAAGCCAAGCGCGTACGGGTGGGTAATCGTTAAATTGACTTGCATGAATAAAGGCATTTCTAGTTTCAAGTTACTATTTGAATGCTATTATCTTTGGTGTAAATTACTCTGTTTCTACACTTGGTTGATGAGATATGTCGTGTGTTTGTTGGTCATCTATATTCTACGATACAATGACATGAGCGTGTTACCGTTCAGATTTGAGGATTTAGCTGATAGAGGGAAGTCAGCAAATGAACTCTGCGACGATTTTCCAACCTAGAGCGTCAACTTGAGAGGGGTTGTAGGCATACTGGTGTAAGTCCTGCGATTCTTCAAAGGAATTCCATCGAGAAATTATCCGCGAGTTTGTGTGTACTGTTTGTATATACGTGTGGTGTCTCATATCAATTGGTGTTTTTGGATTCACTGTGTTTGCTTGTTGTTTTCGTATCTGGTTGTTTTGCATAACTTTGTTAAATTTTCGTCGTGCTTACTTCTGAAGTTGTGTCCACTCTTCTACATCCGTGAATGAATTGATTGATGTTAAGGACAGCAGATGGGTCGTATACGCCGGGGAGGCTAGGCTAGTGCTGAGAATGACCTGCACACGGAGATAATGATTGGCTGTGGTTCCACACGCCGGGGAGAAAGAGTGTAAACGACTGAGGCTTGCATACGCCACCGTTACTAGAACTGAGGCAGAATGAGTGACAGGCGATTGCAGTGGTAATTTGTAGTCAATAGATAAGAGGATGTGCGAAGGATATCATGAGGAGCTCTTATGGTCACGCTGCGTTCTGCAAGAGTCATAGCGAGTGGCGATTGTCAATCAGGTCACATAAACCGTTAATGCCCAGCTCTCGCTACGCTCGGGCCCACGCTGTTCTTCGAAGATTTCTCAGAAACGCTTAGTTATAACGGACGCAAAAACCAAAATACTGATCTGCCGCTTTAGATTTGTTTATTGTTACACCAACATATAAAAGGAATAAGCGAACTAAGGTCTGTGAACAAATATTACAATAATAAATCATAAGATTACTTCTGACGATGTTTCACTCTTCTTTCTGAACAGCGACCGATGAGACGATGACTGTCGTATTGATGCCTCCGCGAAAATTGGGGAAGTTGATTTTGAGCAAACAACCAAGAATTGATCGTTCAATCTTCAACTCCATTGACACTCCCCGGCAAAAAAGGGATCCAACCCTTTTTTCCTTCACGACCAATACACGTCGACTTGGATGCCATTGCGAGAACCTGGGTCACACAGACAGAGCTGAAATGGAAAACAAACAGAAAAGCCAACACACCACCACAAGCATACTCACAGCGCAATCTCACACACCAATGACGACCTCCGCCTTCCAGTTAAAGGCATCCTCTTGACACATCCTCTTGCAACACAGTCTCCACTTGCTAGAATGACTCTTGCAGAATGCAACGTGACCATGGCAGCACCTCGCGATACTCTACGCACATCCTCTTATCTACTCATTACCAATTACCACTGATATCGCTGGTCACTCATTCTGCCTCAGTTCTAGTTACGGTGACGTATGCTAGCCTCAGTCGTTTACACTCTTTCTCCCCGGCGTGTCGGACCACAGCTAACAATTATCTCCGTGTGCATTTCATTCTCAGCAATAGCCTAGCCTCCCCGGCGTATACGACCCATCTGCTGTCTCTAACATCAATCAATTCATTCACGGATGTAGAAGACAAGAAACAACTTCAGAAGTAATCACGACGAAAATTTTAACAAAATTACGCAATAAAAACAAGGCACGGAAACAACGAGTAAACACAACTGATCCTAAATCACAAATTGCGAAGACACACCACACGTATACAGAAACAGTACAAATAACCTCGCGGATCATGTCTTGGTGGAATTCCTTTGAAGAATTGCAGGACTTACACCAGTACGCCTGCAACCCTTCTCAGGTTGACGATTGTAAGTTGTGGAATGTCCAGACACAAACAAGATTAACCAACAATTACAATAATTGGAACTCACACAACTATTTAACACAAACATATGTACAATCAACACATCAAATGTTGTGGATTCCGGCATGACAATCTACCCTTGAAGAACCGTAGGACTTACAGCAGTACGCCTACAACCATTCTCAGGTTGATGATCCAAGTGGAAGTCGTCCGGACACAAACAGAATTACCAACAGCTAGATGACAGATGATATCAATTCAGTATATACAATATGAACTTATGTAAAAATCACAAACCAAGCACATTGGATTGCTCATTGATGCGCTACCCTTTGAAGAACTGTAGGACTTACAACAGTACGCCTACAACCCTTCTCAGGTTGACGCCCTAGGTTGGAAAATCGTCTCAGAGTTCATTTGCTAACTTCCTTCTATCAGCTATGTCCTCAAATCTGAACAGTAACACGGCCATGTCATTGTATCGTAGAATATAGATGACCAACAAACACACGACATATCTCATCAACCAAGTGTAGAAACAGAGTAATTTACACCAAAGATAATAACATTCAATTAGTAACTTGAAACTAGAAATGGCTTTATTCATGCAAGTCAATTTAACAATAACTCTCTCCTTTACACTTGGCTTATCCACACTAAACTGACCATAGATATTCGTCCTTTCAAACGAACTGATACTACCATAGTCATTGCACAAGATACTTGAGTTGATGGGCATCTGTTTCATTCTGGATGAAAACACCAACGATGACTGAGTGACACAAGGTGATGAACTTAGTGGTGGATCAGAAGCTGTTATTTTTCGGCTTTCAGATAGTTGTCCAACTGCAAGATTACCACCACTGCTGTCTTTCACTACTAGTTCGGGTTTAGCACTATCATCTGATGATAGGTGGGCTACATGCTGATCAATTACACTGACTGTCTCACATACCTTCTGCAACTGCATCTGCATTTATTTCTACTTCACGTTCTAGTTGTACAGAACCTTTATTTAACTTAGCAGTAGTAGGCATATCCCTCATCTCATCATGATCAACCAAAGACAAATCTGCACTATCATGATCATTATCACAAATATTCAATTTACCGTCAAGTTCATCATTTTCAAACTCTTTAATAACAGAAGTAGACAATTTTGGTTCCTCCTCACAAATCATTAAAGGTTTTATATCCTCACTCTGACTAGTAATACCTTGTAAACTTTTGGAGTCAGAACTGCACTCTGAAGCAGTAACTCTATTCTGTGACACTCTATTCAACAATGGCTTACCAGTTGCAACTACAGACTTCTTCACAGCACCGTTATCGTCACACAATTCGGAGTCAGGCCTGGAGTTTACATTTAGCTTATCACTGAACTTGCTCACCGGTTCACAGTTCACTTCTGTATGCACCTCTTGCACACGTGTAAACCACAACCGTGTTTGTCTTGCATCTTGTAACTTATCTGTTGAGGATGTACTACGAAACCTGTTACACTCACTAGGTCTATATGCATTACTAGACATCATGGAGCCTTCTCGATATCCACCTCTCTGAGGCCTACTCGTCATCAATGATTGCATTTTGATCTCAGACTGCTCTATTCTAGGGGTGAGATGTAATAGACTGGCGAACTTGCTCATAGATTGATTGACACTATCTTTTACCAGTTTCAGGATATCATCAAACTTTGGCTCGATACCCTCATCCTCCATACGGGAGCTTATCTTCACCCACTTCCTTTGCAGTCGAGTAGGTAGACGTCTTGCTATTACTTCTAGTATAAAACTCGAGTTGAGGTCACTCGTGCGATTCATCGAAATCATTGCATTCTTGTAAATTAGCAAATTATCTAAAAACTCAGTGAGTGCCTGGGAATCATCCTGTAATTGACCACCATTACCCTTAACAGCCTCGAATAATTTCCCTGCAATCATCGAAGGTCTTCCAAACCTTTGACGTAATATGCTCATAGCCTCGTAGTAGCCCTCTTTTGGCTTCATAAACTTACAGCACTGTATAGCTCTTGCAGCATCTCCAGTGCAATACCTCATCAAATACATTAACTTCAATTCATCATTTAATAAAACACCACTCAACATGATCTCAAACTCCTTTACAAATTGTAAATAATCGGCCGGGTTTCCATCAAAACACCGTGGTTCAAATCTAGGGAGTTTGATGTTCCTATTATCCCTGAACGGCGAAACAGTAACATCAACCATGTCATACTTAACATCAGACACATCGTTACAATTAACAGACAAGTCACCATGACTTACTTTCCTGTTTGCATCCAAGACACTCTGTCCCTTCTTTGACCCAGGCATTGTTGAACTTGACCCAATTCCAAAAAAGTTCCAGATATTGCTTGTTCAAAGAGGACTTGACCGGCACCAGGAAAAATGAACGGCGACTATCCAAACTTTCACCAACTGTTTGAATCCGCCAGATCTGTTTCTATCGTCAGAAACTGTCAATCACGTCTCATAAACCGTTAATGCCCAGCTCTCGCTACGCTCGGGCCCACGCTGTTCTTCAAAGATTTCTCAGAAACGCTTAGTTATAACGGACGCAAAAACCAAAACACTGATCTGCCGCTTTAGATTTGTTTATTGTTACACCAACATATAAAAGGAATAAGCGAACTAAGGTCTGTGAACAAATATTACAATAATAAATCATAAGATTACTTCTGACGATGTTTCACTCTTCTTTCTGAACAGCGACCGATGAGACGATGACTGTCGTATTGATGCCTCCGCGAAAATTGGGGAAGTTGATTTTGAGCAAACAACCAAGAATTGATCGTTCAATCTTCAACTCCATTGACAGCAATTGTGTTGCAAAATGTCAACTGGATACCTTTAATTCGAAGGTGTATCTCGTCATTGATGGGATTGTGCTGTGGGTATGCTTGTGGTGTGTTGGCTTTTCTGTTTGTTTTCCATTTCAGCTTTGTCCGTGTCGCCCAGGTTCTCGCAATGGCATCCAAGTCAACGTGTATTGTTTGTGGTGGGAAAAAGGAATGGATCCGTTTTATGCTGGGGAGTGTCAATGTAGGCGAAGATTGAACGATCGATTCATGGTTGTTTGCTCAAACGCAACTCCCCATAGTTTTCGCGGTGGCACGAATCAGCCAGTCATCGTCTCATCGATCGCTGTTTAGAAAGAAGATCAAAACCGTCAGAAGTAATATCGTGATTTATTATTGTAATATTTGTTCATAGACCTTAGTTATTATGCTGGTTGTATGTTGGTGTTAGAATAAAGGATTCTCGAGTCGCCAATCGGTGTTTTGGTTTTTGCGCCCGTTAGTACTAAGCGTTTCTGAAAGGCTTCGAGGGACATCGCGAGTCCCGGAGTAGCAAGAGCTGGGCATCAACTGCTTTTGGGACGTGATTGACAGTTGGGGACAATACTGAACAAGCCTTGATATGCTATAAGTCGTAATGTTTTTTATTCGTGTTTCAGCTGGTACACGCCAGTTTTACAGACATATGTAGGTCATCGTTTCAATAATATAATTTCAGTGGTGCGAGAAATTGTTTCCTTTTTGTTCTGCTTATAAGGTTGATCCGAGGAATTTACCGTGTGTATCAGCTATTGCTCAAAGTCTGTAGACCATGAAGGGCATAACAATTTAGGATAGTGAGCAGGTAGTTTTGAGGTTATTGAGGAAATTGGAAACAGTGCAGTCCTCTTCAAGATTGAATTAATAATTAGTCAACCTCCTTGCAGTCTTTCTATGAACATTCCAGTGTCTTCAGTACACCATTTGACATCAAAACGATACAACCCCATTAAACTTGTACGAAACTGTGGCATGTACTTTGATAGGGACATGCCAGTGACTAAGTACAATGAACTGTGTTATGGGTTTTTAGTTTCTACAGAAATCCTCCTGTGTTTTTTTGCTTTCTGAGTAATAATTAGAGTTCAGAGGTGTTCTCTGAATGAGCCCTTTGATGCAGTTTATTCAGTTTCATGGTTGTTATCAAAATTGTGACGATGGGGGCATTGAAAAGTCTGGAATGGTTTTCACTTTGGTTGCTATTAATTAAATGTCACTTACATAAATCGCGAAACTTATTGCGATCAGTGAAACGAATCAGCCGCAATCTAGCTCAACTGATAGCTAGTTTCCTTCAGTTTGCGGCAGGTCATGAGCATCGTACCTCAAAACAGCAGTGAGATTACTGCACAGCTATTCACATACAAATGGTAATCCGTTTCATCAGCCCCATATTCATCACAGAAGAGCAAGTACGAGGGTGAAAGGCATTCGGTGCAGCTTATCCGCCACATGAAGAGATTACAGGCAGCTAGTGGCTAACAAATACAGTAAGACGCGGGCCAACAGTTTAGCATACATTAACATGTCTTTATTCTTCATAGGACTGTTCGAATTGAAAACTTTCACTGAATAGTAGGTAAGCTTGTGTTTTGGTCGCGTTGTAGAATGAAATATGCGCATTTTGATCAAATAAATTCCGCTTTAATATGTCCATTCACCCACATCAATAATGTCAATAGTTACATCAGTGAGAATCGAGGAAGTTCAGGTTGTGAAACATTCAGGAGCAAGATGACAGTCTTACATTCGGTTAATCAAGTTGCAGAGCCGTCACTATGTTACTGATTTCTGTTGATGGCAATTTTTCAGCTTATTTCATTTATATATCCTTTTATGTTATTAGATCCACAAATGAGGGTATGCGGCATGACGCCTTTATAATTCGGCTCGCCAGTTTTTGACGGGCTTTATTTCAAAGTTCTAAGATGGAGAATATCGTACGGTTCACTATGGTGCCATAATGTCCACTGTTGACTCTGAATACTAAAAAGACCTGCTTGGCCTGTTGTAATTACTGCATCTACAGTTATTTAAGACATGCGCCGTCAATTTGCCTGCCTGAAACTGCTAGCTCCATTCGACTTCTGAGTGAACATGACGAACAGAGATGAGAATTTCGTGGGGCTGAGCAAGAACTCTCTGACTGCACTGAGTGTTCAGCACTGGGATTTCGAGTTTGTGTGGGATTCACTTGATAGTGTCTTAGGTTACCTGTCAACAGTTGTGGCTCATTACGTTTCCCGTCAGTAAATGTGTTAAAGGGAGTTATCTTCCCACATACGTAAATCATGTAAACACCTCATTTTACCAGAAAGCAGGAAATGGTGATATGATGGCCAACGCAACTAAGGAATGTAGTGTTAGGTAATTCCCAAGAATGAGTGGCCACAGCATTCATCACTGAACATTGGATGCTGACCCCCACTATATTAATCGATTTATTTAGCTGAAGGCTTACGGTCAAGCATCCACTCCATTCAGTACGCCATCGTGTTACGTTCGTTCGTTCGTGTACGGTCCCTAGCTAGTTAAGCGATCACCTCTCAATACATTTTGGTCCCGAAATATAGTTCATAATTTGGCCGATCAATTCTGTTGTTTTGCTTCACCTTTTGTCTACGCAGAACGAATACTATAGAAGTTTTGGGTATAAGATTTTGCGTTAGTGCACTTCGTACTATCCATGAACATCAGTACCGTCATCCTCTAAAGGTTTGAGTCATATACGGTATTGGCCCAGAAACTTTGAAACGTTGAACAAGTTGCTTTACAGCTCAGGACACATTTTGCACAAACTGATCACTTGTATCGACACGATAAGACCCTTGATTAGACTTTTAGTACTGATGGCAAAACTCAAAAAGCAGGATTGATTACGAATGTGACCAAAAAATAATATACACGCAGTAGGAGTATTACTGGAAATGTATTTCAAAACGTGTTACTTCTTAATGGATAGTTGCTGGTGTCAGTGAGAAAAAATTCAACAGCTATAGTTGAATAAAGAACAAGTAACGGCTCCTGTGATAATCGCTTTCTAAGACAAACTTAATCCTTTCAAAGATATTTACCACAAGACCTAAGACGTATAAAAAGACCGATTACGCTTAACCTTGTCGACCTGAATGCAAGCTGAAATGACTTTTAGAAATATGATGATATAAATATATACTCACCTAATTTGCCACTCCCTGTCCAAGGTGAAATAAATCAATTACAGATCCAACCACATCGATTTCCAATAAAATAAATTGGCCACTATTAAGATGGGAGCCAAAAGCACCTAACTTAGTACACCTAAGCTTGAAGAGATGACATTGAATATCGAAAGAGAAATTAAACGTTCGCGAAGGTTGTTGAGTTAGCGGCTATTTTAGATGAAAGTCACATTGTGAAATGGCAAGTGGCTTACATTTAAAGAACGTCGACAAAGCTTTGGAAATACCACCTATTTGTTCACATTCCAAAGGGGGCAGTTCTACTTTCGATGACCAGACCAAGGTAAGTCAATTATTTCGTCATCATCGCTAATATAAACAAAGGATTCACGTCTTTCTACAGCATCTGCCAAGAAAAGACTTTCGAGTAGATCAAATTCGGAAACTGGAAGCTATGATTCAGGTATTATTTTGGACACAACTTAGATGCAGACTCGTCTTGAAACGTTATGTGAAAATTTTTTAGCGTCTATAGACGCTATGATATGACTATAGTCATATGTTGACTACATATTAGTTCCTTTCAATACTTTTTGTTTCCTGCATAAAAGTCCAGTTCAAAATATTCAATTTTAATTTCGAACGATGAGAGTCGAAAACTGAATGTAAAGAACGTACGTTATATCAGGGAAAAAGAAAGCAGCCGACACCTCATAACGATGCACGTACAGATAAGAACTGTGGGAATACTTTAAAATATAAATCCTAAGTTTGGTTTGGAAACTCTCGCCAGTTTTCATTTAATTGATGATTATTAACAATAGGGTGTGACACAGCTCAAGTTAACTATTGTTCATTAGCTTACTGCGTAAACGTCACTTCTACCTATTTAAAACTAAACTGATTTCATATATGTGACACTTTGTATTCACCTCTTTTGGTAATGCCTCAAACTCCCCGCATAATACTGACATACTTCGTTTGGTCACGTGTTGATCTTGTAATTTTTTCATGTAAAGTGCTCCGCTCCGTCCTCCTTTATGGTTGTGAAACCTGGCCACTGAGAGTGGAAGACATGAAAAGATTA